GGGTCAGCCACCTGTTGTAGGTATCACCCACAATCTCGGCCATGGTGACACCGTCAAGTGCCACGCCATTAACGAACCGATAAATGCTAATTTTCTATCAAAGCATTTTAATCGCAGCTGCAAATTTAGAGCCCATCAGCGGTGACCCCCGTCGCTCCCCCTCCACTTTAGAAACACTTGAACTGGGGGTAATTGGTTGAAGACCATGAACAACCAACATAGGATGTCACTTGGGAAGGCTACATCGTTTCAACCATGCAGTAAAGATATATTCAAAGTGGACTACAAGTGGTACTGATCCGTGTATGTGTGCCTGGCAGGATACGTCCGGGGTCGTCCGGGAAGGGGGAGGCTGGTAGTGGGGCAAGGAGAAGGCCGGGGCAGTGGGTATGGGTGTAGGCCAGGGGAGGGTTGGTTGTGGGTATTGGTTTAGACCAGGGGAGGCTGGTTAGTGGGTATGGCCGTAGACCAGGGGAGGCTGGGTATTAGGTATGGGGGGAGGCTGGGTAGTGGGTATGAGTGTAGGCCAGGGGAGGCTGGGTTGTGGGTATGGTTGTAGGCCAGGGGAGGGTGGGTTGTGGGTATTGGTTTAGACCAGGGGAGGCTGGGTAGTGGGTATGGCCGTAGACCAGGGGAGGCTGGGTATTAGGTATTGGGGGAGGCTGGTTAGTTGGTATGGGTGTAGGCCAGGGGAGGCTGGGTAGTGGGTATTGATTTAGACCAGGGGAGGCTGGGTAGTGGGTATGGTCTTAGACCAGGGGAGGCTGGGTTGTGGGTATGGGTGTAGACCAGGAGAGGCTGGGTAGTGGGTATGGTCTTAGACCAGGGGAGGCTGGGTAGTGGGTATGGGCTTAGACCAGGAGAGGCTGGGTTGTGGGTATGTGTGTAGACCAGGAGAGGCCGGGTTGTGGGTATGGGTGTAGACCAGGGGAGGCTGGGTAGTGGGTATGGTCTTAGACCAGGGGAGGCTAGGTAGTGGGTATTGGCGTAGACCAGGAGAGGCTGGGTAGTGGGTATGGGTGTAGACCAGGGGAGGCTGGATAGTGGGTATGGTCTTAGACCAGGGGAGGCTGGGTAGTGGGTATGGGCTTAGACCAGGGGAGGCTGGGTAGTGGGTATGGCTGTAGGCCAGGAGAAGCTGGGTAGTGGGTATGGGTTTAGACCAGGGGAGGCTGGGTAGTGGTTATAGTCTTAGACCAGGGGACGCTGGGTAGTGGGTATTGGTTTAGACGATCAGACGAGGGGAAGGGGGGAGACTGGGTAGTGGGTATAGGTTTTCAACAGGGGAGGCTGGGTAGTGGGTATGGGGTTTGAGAAGATGTAAGGGTGAGATATAAATGAAGGGGCGGGGGGTGTTTGGGGAAGTGTTTTACATCACCGGGGTTAGATAGAGCACTTCTAACACTGTCCGGAGAGGTTTCGTTTGTCTGATGTAGTAATTCACATTGGAGTTAAGTTGTCATCCAGTGAGCCAGAGCTTATACTCCGCTAATTTTTTGCGGCACTTCTGGTTCACTTATATGTTCGACCTCACACGTGCACGTAGGGTACAACAGCGAGATGATGGGATTTCATTGGCGAATGCGATGTAATGTCCGAGCACTATCTCGATGTACAAGCGTTGCTTGGAGTTCGAGGCTATACGTCGTTGAGACTGAGATGATAAGGACATTGGATAATTGGGTAGCAGTTTCTCTGTTGATGTCAATGTATCAGGCTGATCGATTACAAATAGAATTAAACTGGACATTTTATAGTTTCACTGTTACCATTACTGTATATATGAAGTATATCCCAGTGCCCCACCGCCCCACCGCCCCACCGCCCCACCGCCCCATCGCCCCATCGCCCCACCGCCCCAACACAACTTCAGTAGCCCTACCCTTAGACTTGCACAAGTCTCTAAGGCAATAATTATTACTTTAAATCAAAATTTCTATATTATGCAAATAAGAACAGGTTGTCCCTATAGGAGACTGGAGTCCACATACCTAGACTTGCCCATAAGAAGGATATAATTACTAAAAATTCATGGACTTTTAATTCAGTACAGCCTTGGAGCAAGGCTACACTACCGTCGGTTCACGCTTGTACAACCACCCGAGAACCTGCAGCCAAAGACGATCCAGTGAGTTCTCCCTGTTTTTAGAGATAATACCATCAAAGGAAAACGAACGATGAGCGTTGGGATTTGATAGGAAAACGATGCATGTAACTTTCATCATTGGAGGTCACATTTGTTTTCAAGCAGCAAACAAGCCAGCTAGTGATGCATACAAGTAACAAACATCCCTCGGCACGTCAGTCACATGACTTACAGTTATCAAGAAAATCCTTTAACGGTATTACATTTCTAATCAGATGAAGTTGCAAATCTATTTGCAATGACCACACGAATCAGTGTGAAGCCATGCACGTGGTGTGATTAGTCATCTGCACCCGTGCTAGGAGGCACGTGACGGGGCTTTTACCATGGTAACGCTTTAAACTTATCTAGGTATGACCCGTCGGGCCATGTCAAGGTGGCTTCATACACCCTGGCTATGAGTCAAGCGGCTACAAGCACAGCTGTGGAGGCAGCGAACAATACCATTCCATGTCGGGGGAGATCAGTTTACTTTAATTGAACCCAGTTGTCCTTAAAATGAAATAAAATTAAACCCGCCATGACTCGTTCCCGGCTCATTTGGAACCTGAGATTCCCACATATCAAAGCTGTTCGTGAGTCACATTATGCGGCCGGGAATAAGTTATGTAGCCATACCGAGTCAACCCTGTATTTGATGGAATCCAATTTATTATAATTACGTTTAGGAGTAGTCTAAACAGAACGATATGATCACAGACAAAATGTTTATATGTTGAATATGTTATCATATGTTCAACGTGTAAGTTTGCAAACTGCGTTTTGAAAAAAAGGTTGTAAAAACTTGTAATTTATGTATTTTAATAACTTTAAACTTTTCTAAATCAAACAAATATAAACAAGTGCAAGGCTTGAAATGATAGGATGGGGGATGAGAGACATTTGGAGTTTTGGATCTCCGTAATTTCTTTTCGAAATCGAAATCCATGCATGTGACATGGCTAATAGTCAAACGACTGTATCTGTTCTTACAGTAGTAGTAGTAGTAGTAGTAGTAGTAGTAGTAGAAGTAGTAGTTATACCTATCGAGGGACGGTAGGGTAGCCTGTGGTCAAGGCAGGAGTAGCTGTATATATCGAGGGACGGTAGGGTAGCCTGTGGTCAAGGCAGTAGTAGCTATATATATCGAGGGACGGTAGGGTAGCCTGTGGTCAAGGCAGTTGTAGCTGTATATATCGAGGGACGGCAGGTAGCCTGTGGTTAAAGCAGTTGTAGCTGTATATATCGAGGGACGGTAGGGTAGCCTGTGGTCAAGGCAGTTGTAGCTGTATATATCGAGGGACGGCAGGTAGCCTGTGGTTAAGGCAGTTGTAGCTGTATATATCGAGGGACGTTAGGGTAGCCTGTGGTCAAGGCAGTTGTAGCTGTATATATCGAGGGACGGTAGGGTAGCCTGTGGTCGAGGCAGTTGTAGCTGTATATATCGAGGGACGGCAGGGTAGCCTGTGGTCAAGGCAGGAGTAGCTGTATATATCGAGGGACGGCAGGGTAGCCTGTGGTTAAGGCAGGAGTAGCTGTATATATCGAGGGGCGGCAGGGTAGCCTGTGGTCAAGGCAGGGCCAAGGCAGTTGTAGCTGTATATATCGAGGGACGTTAGGGTAGCCTGTGGTCAAGGCAGTTGTAGCTGTATATATCGAGGGACGGCAGGGTAGCCTGTGGTCAAGGCAGGAGTAGCTGTATATATCGAGGGACGGCAGGGTAGCCTGTGGTCAAGGCAGGAGTAGCTGTATATATCGAGGGACGGCAGGGTAGCCTGTTGCGAAGGCAGGAGTAGCTGTAGATATCGAGGGACGGCAGGGTAGCCTGTGGTCAAGGCAGGAGTAGCTGTATATATCGAGGGACGGCAGGGTAGCCTGTGGTCAAGGCAGGAGTAGCTGTATATATCGAGGGACGGCAGGGTAGCCTGCGGTCAAGGCAGGAGTAGCGGTATATATCGAGGGACGGCAGGGTAGCCTGTGGTCAAGGCAGGAGTAGCTGTATATATCGAGGGACGGCAGGGTAGCCTGTGGCCAAGGCAGGAGTAGCTGTATATATCGAGGGACGGCAGGGTAGCCTCCAGTCAGTGCAGTAGGTAGTATCTCTGTATATCGGGGGATGGCATGGCGTCTTCCTTCAGTTAACTAAGATGTATGAAGCCAGGGTAATATAATCACAACGTTATGTCTTACTTTCAATTCCACGTTTTCCTCCTTGAGTATAACAATTACAAAATATAACATGTCCAATCTGAGTGTCTTATTTAATCCACGTTCAGTTTAAGCTTCCATACACAAAATATTGTCACCAAGAACCTAGACAACCATGTTCAATATGCTTATTACGTGTTCCACAGAAAACAAATTGACGCCAACACCCAGGGTTACATTAGTCAATGTTTAACTCAAACCTCTCCCGCAGTTGCTCAACAATAATATTTTGTTCAGCCAGATATTAAACCTCACGTGAATGTGTCTTTCAATGGGAAATATCTTTTGTAGAATGCAAAAGGTTTAGTTACTCATAGCGCCCGGACCCTGTTGTATAAACTGTAATTGTACTGACGTGTATAGCAGACTCGCAATACATGTATACCCTCCCAGCGAGATTACAGACATTTCTAAATTAGCCGCACCAGTATCTACATTCAGAGAATATAAACCTATCCGGCGATTATATTTACACAAACAAACGTCCACATGCATGACCCTAAGCTACACTATTCAATCAGTCCTTATCAATCTGATATATCGTGTGGTGCTATGAAAGCGACATTTGAGAAAAATTAAAGGACGTCTTGCGAACAAAACAATTAGTGTAGATATCCATTAAGAAGCCATGAGGCGGAGAGCTGGGGGATAAACCAGTGATCGTCTCCGCATACCAAGCATACCGTGTTTGGAGGGAGATCTCGTCTTTTCATTCAGCAGGAAACATACACAGCCTGTAAGTATTGCGTTGCTACAGTCGGGGCAGACCGAGTATGACAGCGGTGGTGTGAGACAGCATTAAAGATTTCCAACCAAGCCTGACGACTTAACAAAGAAGAAACACAGGTGGAAAGGACACTCGGGACACGTTAATACGATTCTTTATACATAGAAGGTATGTACAAAATGCGATTCTTTTCATAGCATTTTGCGTAACATAACAGTCTATCAGAGTGGTGTAGCCCTTAAAAAAGATGTCACTTCCAGTGCGAACTGCCGCCACGCAGGGCTAAGTTGTGGAGGACGGCACTCGGATAGTATTCGGGACGCGGATCCCAGAGAGACTCGGACTGAGAGCTGTCGCGTTTCCCTTTGGCTGGGGATGGGGAGTAGGGGACTAGTGCCGGGTCGGTTTTGTGGCAAACGGTCACCTGTGGTTAGAGCGAGGTCTGTCTCGCGGAGCAGGGATACACACACCAGGACTGTGTCTAAAATACCCAATACCGAGATAGGGCAGTTATAAATCGCTCTGGTCACATACAGGCTACGGGACGGTTGATAAGACAGCAAGCATTTCTTTCTAAACCTGGCGGAGAATGTTCTTTCGGTGACTACCTGGGCCCGCCTGTGCGAATTCAACAAACTCCCAGTGACAATCCCGAGGGATAACCAGCGGTCAAGCCCCGAGGGAGCAATCCTCGTTTGTTATCCTTGACAGCAGACGACAAATTGTCTCCGACGCACGTCTTAATTGGTGGCACCGGCTAGGGCTCAGTGATCTCCCCTGTCCAGTCTCGTGGCTCTTGCTGTGCTAGTGGACAAGCAGACGATACCTGGCCGCAGACGACACGTGTGAGCAGACGATACCATTCGCGGGATGTTTTCATTGACTCCTGAGCACACTTGGGACAGTCTTTCAACCCACAGTCAGGGCAATAAGCAGCTTTGTGACTAGTATGTCCTGTTTACAAACACAACCAGCCACGGGATCAAGCTTTGTCGTTTCGTGATTGGATTTTGCCGTGTTTTATGATTGACGTGAGGGGTGATTTATCTGGAATACAGGTAGACAATTGAATCTTATGAAGTGATATATATGCACAGCCGTCTAAATAATGCAGCTCGTCTTCTGCCAATATTGCATTGGAGAAAGACACTGACAATCTCTGGCTTGCCTGGATCAAAGACGCTTAAGCATTTGTTTTTCTTTCTCTGTGATCTGCACCCCCGAATTTGCTGATATTGCGGATTATAACCATCTGTTTCCCCTCCTGCCTCAGGCTAGGCAAACAACTACCACCAGTTTTTGTGACTTGTAACCTATCCGCTACTACAGGATAACAAACTTTTTCAACCAGGCTCTCTATTGGATTTACCCTATAGATTTCAGGGTGATTCCGGAGTGTAGAAAGTCGTGTATCAACTCTTGTGACGGTCGGTGGAAGCACCCCTCCATCGGGCGTCCGAGTGAGACTGCAGGGAGTTAGTTGTATGTATAAGAGCGTACGGCAGTTAATACAGGCCGCAGATAACACATCTATTAGCCGTGTGTAGGTACTGTAAAGTGTGACATTTATTTCGTGGCTGTATTCAAACACTGGTCATGTCAAATTACACGGCCTATTGCTGCGCTGATGCCCATGGCCTGAGCGCACGGATATAATCACTTCACAGCGGATTGCCATACCTACTCAGAAGCTTCGGGGAGGACACTGCACGCATCTTTTCAGTCAGCTTCTGAAAAAAAAGTTGAAATTAATTTGGACAATACCAGTGTTGAGTATTTAACGCTTCCATCCCACACTGGTATGTGTCTTCAGCCTATTCCATCTTCATCCACCGAGGAGAGGACGCTATACTGAAGCTACGACACCAACATGCATGTGATGTTTCACCTACTCTTCGTCATCTTGGTGAGTACTTTCTATACATTCTATTTTAAACTTTTATTGTACCACCGGATGATTCAAGCGGTCGCCCTCGTGGGTTTTACCTTAACCAGCTGGGAAGCATTAGAAAAAGGCATCTCAGAATGGATAAGGGTGTGTAAGAAATATATATTGCACATAAGCTGAGTGATATGGTTTATCAGAGGTCATGAACACCGATTACTACTGGAGATGTTGTGTTGAATCTGTGTTAGAAAAAATTCGTTGAATCTCGTATATGTCAGCGACCCTCTTTGCGGAGATAAAGGGAACAGCTTTTTGTGGTTTCGCGTTTTTCTCGCGGCAGTAGTATTAGAAGATTAAAACTCTAACGCTCTGGTGTGTCGTCAGCTGCAGTAGCCGTCGTGAGAGGCATGATGGACTCTCATTCATACATGTAACCACGCTACCTCAGCTTGACAGTATTTACTGACGGAAAACTTAAATGACGTCTCCTTGTTGACAGAAAGGTATACTCCTTGATTTAAGTAGCCTGCTCTAGATCATCGGAACCCCACACACCATTGTGATGCAATATATAATGAGTTTACACAGGGAACTCGTAACAGGGTTTCGGCTGACAGCTGCGGTGTGGTTACAGGACCTTGGTTTGTCTACATCATCTCAGTAGGTTGATGTAGACGTTAAACATCGCCCACTGAATGAGCGCATCAAGGGGAAGTCGGTAGACCCACGTTCAGACAGACAAGGTGTATTTCTTATTGGACATTTCGCCATGGGGAATTATCATATACCATTTTATATTCCTTAAACTGTTAATTAAATGTCTTTTTTCGATTATATCGCAAAAATTGGAAGTTTAAGTTTGTGGATTTGAATTATTTGTAAAATAAAACAGAGTTCGTAACAGATAGCATCGATCTATGCAGTCACTGATGTTTCGGAAAGAAAAATAAATTTCACCCTGTAGTTCTTCTTAAACAACGTCATTTCATTTATCAATCTACACAAAGCCCTGATATGTCTTTTGGGAGAGATATCTTTCTGGTGCACATGCCGCTAGGCTATTATGTATATAGTTACCAAATAATACCCTTTCATTTAAAAGGTTATGTGCAGTTTGGTTTGAAGGGCAGAGGTGTAATTTGCTGTGATGTGTTGTATCGTTTGTCTAGAAGGTGCCATCAACCTTTCTCCCGCTGGAACCAGGAGGCAGAATGGTCCTCCAGGAACCTTTAGGAGAAAGGCAATTGTGTGCATGCGACGAAACACGTGGTTCCGTTTTCCGAGCACGAGTGTGGCTTACCTTCCTATCTATACCACTCAAAAGAAGTTACGGAACACCCGATTCTTTCACGTTACTACAGTTAATAAATAGAGCAGAGGGTGCTTCTACCCGGGTACTGGGACTAAATGTGAACATTTCGTCAGTATAAGCCCACTGTTTAGATGTTTTGTTTTGTGTATGATAGGGGTAGTCCGGTGGTAAGTGCGATCACTTGTCCGACGTTCCTGTTGGAGTGAGTGAGTGAGTTTGGTTTTACGCCGCTTTAAGCAATATTCCAGCAATATCACGGCGGGGGACACCAGAAATGGGCTTCACGCATTGTACCCATGTCGGGATTCGAACCCGGGTCTTCGGCGTGACGAGCGAACGCTTATACCACTAGGCTACCCGACCGCCCCCGTTCCTGTTGGAATCTCGGGTGGCGAAGCTATTCTGGTGGTTCTGTCTAAATATGTCTCTACCTCAGCGTTACACCACTGTCGTATTAGATTTCTCAGCTGTCAGAATGTTGCGGTAACGGGTTCGAATCCCAGCTTCACTACGATTAGTAGTTTTGGTTTATCAGTTACAAATCCCCGCGGGTGGGTAACTATTGAGTTTGGACCTTCCTTTGTCAAAGACCAACGCCGTAATAGGTTGGTTGGTTGGTTTTTTAACGCCGCAATATTCCAGCTTTATGACGGCGGTCTGTAAATAATCGAGTCTGGACCAGACAATCCAGTGATTAATATCATGAGCATATCGATCCACGCAATTGGGATCAATGACAATCATCAACCAAGTCAGCGAGCCTGACCACCCGATCCCATTAGTCGCCTTTTACGACAAGCATAGTCACCTTTTACGGCAAGCATCGGTTGCTGAAGACCTATTATACCCCGGAAAGCAATAGGACTTAGGTAATGTTGATAACTCACCATCTCTATCATCATGATAAACATAAGACGCCAAGGCCAGAGAATAATCAGTTTCCATTATCTGCCGAACAGATTCCATTGGACATAAAAGTGCGGTGACAATTATGCGAATGGATCACTGAAAATAGGGATGGCACCAGGTGTTCGTGAATAGGGTATATCCCATGACACGATTAACAAAGTATATATTGTTTTATGAAAAAAATATAATTTATTCTCTCTGGATTGAAACTATTGTGAACATGAAAACTATTAATGCCACCGTAATATTTTAATGTTTTCATGTGTCCTATGTGTGTTGTCTCCGTCTGAAGGTCACACGGGATTTAATATGTGATCCATTACCTCCAAGGTTGCCGAATGATGGATGCTCGCTGTCAGTTCCTCAACACGTTATGTAACGTACACGGTGGAAGAACTCTTCCTAAGTGAAATAAATATGTTGTGTGCAATGTATTACCGTGTTAAAACGTAATAAGCAGGATTGTTGAGTTCTCGTTATTGGGTCTCGTGTTTCCCGAGATTACAACGTTCATATGTTCAGCGTAACCTAATGTTCTAATAAGCGCAGCGCTGTGTTGTCGACCTTCTGAAGTTTATGAATCCTTGGCTAGCGTTGATTGTATTTCTCGCGCTATCAAGTGTTTACCTGTGATTGTAAGTGTGTTATTATGGCTTCACAAGTCTCATTAGTCCAACTGGCTTCCGTAACGTGTGTGTTCTGTCGACAGACGTGGTGTCAATGGGCTGAGCTTGGCTTGGAACGTACGAGACGCTAGTTAAAGGGAAGGTTACGCCAAAATTCGTCTCGGGGCAAATAGATTCACCACATCCATTTAGGATTGTTTGATAAGATCTGAGATCAGGTTTTTAACCGTTTTAAACCTCAAGGCGAACGGTTACAAACCAAAGTCACCTGTTGAGAAGTGTAGAATTGTAGTGAAGCGTTTGTTTACTACAGGTGTAAGATTGTGTTTAGATAATAAAAGTAATATATGTCATTCAGTGCTGATTAAAGATAGAAACGGTCTAATGCACTATTCAGACTCAATAACAAGAAGAAATATCTTCCTGTTCTTTTGACTATGTAAATGTTTTAAAATTAACGATCATTATGTCACGTATAGCGATTTAAGATCGACATGACACCCTCCTCCATGGCAAAATATGGCAAGATTAATATATGGTACATAAACACCCACTAGGGTCCGAGTACAAACATTTAAGACCTAAGAAATAAATTTAATATGACAATAGAATATACAAATGGAATTATTAATGTTACCGTGGTGAAATCTACTTGCATTTGGACCATTTCGCGTTTCGAAGAATTTGTTAAATAGATGATAAAATAGATGATAAGGCTATGGTAGTAGCACCCTCTGAATCTCTAAATATATAATACATTCCCTGTTTGTCAGCACACAAGCGGCATCACAACGTTAGTCGGACGCTATGTACTGTTTCGGCCTCTCTGCTAGCGTCTCTCCATCCTCGAGAGCAAACCCCACGCCGTTTCAAAGTCGGTACATATTTTCAGGTTTGACCTCCGCCACTCAGATAAAGACAGTATTGGTTTTTTTAAGCTGTCGCGTGCTCTATTCAATGCGGGGAGAGGTGCGTGATGTGGTGTAATGCTGAGGTGGTGATATCTGCTTGTGGAGCTCAACCCTGTTAAAGGCGCTAGCTGCTGTGATACAAAACTCTACAACCAAGAAGTCGGTGAACTTGTACTGGTTGCGGTAGTCTATAGTAGCCGCCGAGTGGACGCTGAATGGACTGGGGTGAAGAACTTGGGTTTGTTAGACCGTATTAACAAAAGTTGAATTATTATATTATATATTTTCCTTTCAACTACACAGTTGAGAGATTTCAGCAATTCATCCAGTGGATTTAGGTCTAAATCTGATTTTTCTCTCCATATCACACAATTTAAATAGTTCGTATTTAGATTTTCCAAAAAACAGTTAATTTTACGTCCATTTTTTCTGTTTGTTGCTTCATGTGTATCTGGATAACTTTGGGATAGTATCTACCCCACACCCCAACAGTACCCCACCCTCTTGATATGCGCCTTGACATGATGGAGACAGGGATTCCATTATACATGATGCTACTCTGAGGTTCATCCCACTGCTCGCTGGGGTGGTCATCAACGTCCGATGTGACTGGCTGGTATTTACCTTCCCTCCATATCAAATTGCCGCAACTACATGAATAAAACCACCATAACCTTTTATTCAAGCCCGTGTCAACCTAATATCAGCCCCTAAGTACTATTTTCTATTGTCCTGTGTTCACGGCAGCGCTTAAAGTATCGCATACACCACTTAATGTTTCTGTTGATTAAATCTATACTGTTGTAGCAAACCGATAAAGCCGCCAGACAACAGACATCGCCATGTATACGGGTACATGATGACGGAACGGAGGAGGGAGGGAGGATTTATGACGGGATGGATTGGAAGCCGGGTGGGATGGGTGTCTATAGAGCCTTTAATCGCAGATGTTGGATCCCTACTAATAACTTACAAGTCTCGCTCACTCTCAAATGTCAACAGTAAATATATCTCCTTGTGATAAAACCACACCTATTAACTATAGTCAGCTACACAATCAGAGCGGACAGGGAGCTAGTTGGGTGGAATCCGACCAAGCGAGATGCCTAGTAATGGGCGGGAGGTTGTACCGTGACGTCATTTACCCCCATTGACCATCAGCGTCTACAGCAGCACAATGTCCACTACAATAGCTAATGGTTTATGACCAGTACCCTCCCACCCTGTCCAAGGGTCTACACAATATATCACCACCCTGGT